CCAAATAATAGTCAGTGGTTGTAGTACTAGTACTAAGATATACTTGAAATGAAAAACAGCCTTGGTCAAAATGTGGCATCGGTGCATTTCAACACAAGGTGGATAAACCGAGAACACACACACAAAACATACAGGACTGAGCTGGTGTTTAATGCGACATGCTGCACTGAAGACACAAATATTTACATTTTTAATTCTCTCTCTGACACACAAACACACATGCATTTTCAGACCAGACAATTCCTAAAAAGCTATTCCAGAGATGAACTGCACAGTGACTCGCATGGGGGAAAATATAATTGGTAAAGATGGAAAAGTGCAACATTTTAAGAAGAAAACTTTCTCCCACTACACACTGCCCCTGCCATCATTCTCTGCCCATCACAGCCTCCATTCATGTTCATTTATCTCTTATTGCACCCTCCCTATATGGCTCCTTCCTTCTTTATCAGAGAAACAGAATCAGGGTAGAGTCAGCCTGGAGGCAAGCCTATTTAGATGAGCTATTTTGTAATTCCTTTATCTGCAGCTAAGACATCCTCAGCTTTTCCCTAAAGAGACATATCGGGGCTCCAGCAGCTCATTTCTGACATTCACTGTGCATTTCTTTGGGAATGAATATTTTCAACAAAAAAAAAAAGACCCATCAAGGTACAAGCATTGTAAATTACTTTAGGCTATAAATTCTGGGACATGTGGCAGTTTATTCAGCTTTTTTTTTAAATTGTGGATGCGTTTTTAATTTTATGGCATGTTTATTTATTGTGTTTGCAATAACACAACCAACTTGTTAACACTATGCAATATTTCTACTGTGATGTAGAAGATAATTATCAAAGTATGTAATTATGTAAGAATGTTAACAGTCTGTAATATTTTTTAGTATATTACTTGTGTGGTGTAGAAGATAATTATCTAAGTAGAGATACTGCTTGCAAACCAATGATGGTAAGATGATGTCATGGGGTAGGACTGGATAAGTCTAACTTCTTCCTACTCCGTTCAAGCATGTACTAGGTATAAGCAAATTGATAATGCATTTGTGGATATGTGTGAAATTATGTGTGTTGACATATTGACTGTCGTTACATGTTTGAAAGAATAAATCAAATCAAACTTTGTACTATGGCCTTTCTCACCTACAGCAGCTATTTTTAACTCACAGCACATTAAAGGTGTGAACGTTTACCCAGAAGACAAACACAGCCTTGCATTTTTCTTCTTACCATGAAGTGTGGAAACAAACATACTGAATATCATATCAAAGTACATGTCTGAAATCCAGAGGAAAATTGGCTGACACTGAGGGCAGACTAATTTTAACCACTTTAGTTAAAAGCTAGTAGCTAGCAGCTACCAAGTATCTGAGCAAATGCCTGAGAAATTCCCAAAATTTCCCAAGTCTGATAACAGGCTTTTCTTGTCCACCTATTATAATTAAGCAGTAAAATACTACCTTTAACATAATGTGTAACATAAACATGTTAACATTTCATTTGTTTTTAGTCAAAGGTCAATAACAAACATGTCACTTGAACACATTTGACTAATTAAACTATAATGAACGGTCTTTGCAACCTTTGTTAGTGAGATTCCATTCTTTTGTTTCCTTCTTTCTGATAAGTTTGATCCTTCTGGGCATGTTGAACACCAGTCTTGCAAATCTGTCATTATTGACATATGATTCTTTTCAGCTGCTCTTTGCTGGAGGAGTTCTGTTTCTCTACCTCCCTCTGTAAAGTTCTCTAAAGGTATTCCATTGCATTCAGGTTAGGGGACAAAAGGTGCTGCCAGTTTTCATCTGGCTTCTTTTTTATGCTCTTTGGAAAAATTGAATCTTGCCGTTTTGTGCCATTTTGTCAGCAGTGGTTTTCTTCTTGGACGCCATCTGCAGAATCTGACTTCATGTAGCGTCCTTCATGCTGTCTGAGCAAAGACTGAAGCGATTTTCACAGATAATCCTTGTGCAAAGTCTTTTATAATCTTGTTCATGCAATTAGCTTTCATTGGAAACCACAGCTGTGATCACAGGGAAACTGACTTTTTTTGAAGTGAATACATGATTTGTTGTAAAGGCTCATATACATGTTGAAATTCTGCCATGGTATTTTCACATCCTGCATTAATTAGGAGAGGGGTAGTTAGACATTAAGTGCTTGAAAAACACAGTGGAAACCAAACTTGCTATTTTTCTTTGTTATAGCTTTTCACACTACTACTGTAGTTTGCCGTCATTCTGCTCCACCTCTGGACCTCTTCCCTTTGAAGCACACACAGTGATCACGATAGCCGGAAAGACAGTCCATCATTTGATTTGGACAAGGTGTTATTAAAACCCACTTAGTCCTGGCTGTAAGATCTATAAGCTATGGAAAATATGCAGTCTACCACAGGATGAAAAAGCCAGCCCTGCAGACATCTGCTTCAAATCTGACCAAAAACAGAGTGAGACAGTAAGACTGAGTTTTATACTGTTGCTAGGACAGCATCTCTCCCACTCATTCATCATGACAGTACATTTTGTTTCATGTCACTGCAGCCTTTCGCCAAACTAAAAAACATCTGGGTGTTTCAAAACAAGTACTCTAAGCAAATGTTTGGTTTCCAAGGCAAAACTACTACAACTAACTGATGCCTCTAAAAAGATAGAGCTCTACTGCTTATTCTATATACTGTTTATTTCTATAATCCCATCAATTTCAAATTATCATTTTCTTCCAAAGAGGAATGACAGATCTCTTTCTTGGATGGCTGAGCCGCAAAAAACAGCCAAAAGGTGGAAAGTGGGCAAGTTAAACTAAATAAGAGAAACATAAGTCTGTAAAAATCCAAACTACTACCGTAAAAACTAACTTGACAAATTCTTGACATTGCCGTTGTGACAGTGTGAATGAGAAGAATGAGAGTTACTGTAGTAGTAGTAGTAATAGAGAATATTTAGCCAATATTCTGTGATAATTCATGATCCAAATTGTTCTACAAGCCAACTCACAAATTAGTGCATGGGCCAAACAATAAAAAGGTCAAATGCTGAAAAATGTGAAGTTTGTGTTATCACCAAAGCTACAGGTCCCACAGGTCTGCAGGCCACTATGAGAAGGCTTTACTGCAAACAGTAATTTGTTGTGACATTTTAAACACACCCACCCCACCATGTGTGCACGTGTGTGAGAGAAAGAGTGGGAGAGAGACCAGTAGCCCACCTTATTGAGTGATTTACAAAAAACAATTACAGTATGTTGCACACAAATCAGTGCTGCACCTCATGGAGCGTTTAGTTAAAAGGTAGCGGTTTGACCTCTCAGTGCATGTATTCAGTTTTAGATATATGCCAAACATTTCAGCTTCTTACAACATTGAAACAGCAGTTCAACAGTAGCATGGTAACAACACAGGCATCCATTAGATTGGGGGGGATCACTAAACAAACAAGATATAAATCCACAGCAGTCACATGGACAAATCTATAACTGTGACAATGCATCACCACTGATATTAAAATGGCTATAAACCACAAAAAATACTGACATTAACATCATGAACCGAAAAACATCCACAAATGATGCATTTACAGAGGAGCCTGTGTGCATCATGACGGCTGTGGCCATGATGTATGCTGTTAAAATGAACAACTAACACAGTTCAGACACTTTAATATACAGCATTCACATAATATCAGCATGCACCTGATGTTGCTCTTTAGAATCAGTTCCTATAATTTCTGTAGTACTGTCAACATCTGACTCAACCTCACACTCTGATAACTTTAACTGAACAATCAATGAAGTGAAAGTGTGGCAAGAAAGTCACATTCATTCTGTCCCAGTGTTACTGTGTGCATTCACAGCATACCACTGCAACAATTTAGAAAGATTTAAAGTGGAAAAGACGACATTTAAATTGAGTTTGGTTTGAAGCCAAAGTGGTCAGCACTCTACAAACATTTGACTGATAGCTGGAGCTACCGTAACCCCCCTCCACCTTCAGCGTGTGAGTGCGTTAGGACGAAGAGTACGGCACCTGGTTATGAGCAAATTCACCACTGTGGTAAAAGGTCTCCTGAAATATGGTCAAACAGCAATCATGAACCTCACCATGAGTCGCCATCACATAATAAGGCCACATTGTTTGGCTAAGAAGAGCTTGGAACTGTGGCCACGGCATTTAAAAGCAGGGGTCCTTAAATGGAGTTGAAGTCCTTTTCACACAGGAAAGACAACAGAAAAGCCTCTAGCTGGCTGTGCAAGCAGTTGCTCTGTGATGCTGTCACACATTATAAAGCCACCTAAAAGGGCAAAAAGGATCTTTTTAAAAACACTTTTGTGTATCCAAAATTAAGTTTACTAGATTCCGAGCATTGCCCCGATTCCCTGCTGCTTGAGTTCTTACACTGTTTCCAGCAACCAGCTCCTCCTGGCTCTCCATTAAGTGCCTTAGTTAAAGAATCTTCACACATCTCATTTAATTTCAGTGTCCTGACAGTCCATCTACTTAAAATTAAAACCATCAATAGTCTAAGAAATAGCCCAGATTCTTGGCTCCTGTAACTCCCAGGCAAAACCTGCTGTGCTGACTATACAGCAATACAGGCTGTAGAAAACAATAAATCCCACAAGATACTAAAACAGCAGCACAAGAGAGTCCAAAGCAAAGAGGAACAAACAGGCTGATGAAGATAAAATAAATGAATGAAGGAGTCAAAAGAGAAAACAGAGAAAAGGTAAAAAGCATAGGGAGCATGGGGGGGGTTGGGATTTGTTGATTTTGTTGAGTTGGCCTGGCCACTCATCGTGACCACCACATCTCACTCACACCTCCACTTTCTCACATCATCAGCAATAACATTTACAACATCACACTGACAGCCGTCATCGACAATAACATTTACAACATCACACTGACAAAGTGTGAAAAAACATATAAATATGTGCATAATAAATAAGCAGTTAGCATTACTCCATCATGGTGATTCTAGTTTGAAGGTAGATTGATTTACTCACAAGATTTCGTCGTTCTGAAATTCCAGGACACCATGAGTATCTTCGAAGTCCTCTCCGCCGCCTTTTGCTGTTCCTTCCACTGTCTTGTATGGAAGCATGACCAGGCCGCGAGCCCCCGATGTTCTCAGCACCTTCACCTCCATGGTGCCAATGCTCTCACTTACATGGCATACTGGTTCGTCAAACGTAAAGATACCGGCATGGTCGTCATCAAAGATGGTAACAGTCGCTGTAGCGGGTGAACCGAGACAGGCCACTGAGTCCACATGATTTGCTGTCTCGCTCTCCTCTGGTTCCTCTCCCTCTGGTGGCAACACTTTGACACTGGATAGGTGAATCAGGAAGTTTTCATCCTCCTCAAAGATGTCATCATCAATGATCCCCACACGGATCTCCTTCATTGTCTCGCCAGGCTTGAACACCACCACACCCTCTGTGAATTCGTAGTCTGAGCCGGCGTTGGCCGTGCCATCTTCTGTTCGGTACTCCACAGAAATCGTTTTGCCCAGGTCACCTCCACGTCGCACCACATTCACAGCCACTGTGCCACAGTTTTCAAGGCACTGGTAAGAGCCAGGCTCAAAGAAGATCTTAGATATGGGGTCATTATCACCAGCATCAGAGCGAACCTCGTGCATGCTGACAGCCTTTCGTGCCTGATCAGCTGCATGTTTCTTCAAGATGTTGCCAGCACCTGTCATCAGCCGGGTGGCCTGGCATCGATAGAACGCACGACTCTTCTGCTGCTGGCTCAAAACTTGGTAATTGGCAAGCTCAATGAGCTGTTCCATCTGGTAAGAGAAAACGTAAAGGACATGAACACAATGTAAAAATGTGTTCTGTAGTGTGACTACTGGATGTGGCATAGTATCCTCTCCTGGTGGGAAAATGTCTTCTCTGTCAACTTGTCCGCCTGAATAAGATACATTATTATACCGTTTCTTCGACCCTCTCTGGATAAATAAGATTTAATGTGTCATGTGGATGAATCCAACATTAGAAATAGTCAGAGAACAGTGATGTTACAATGAGGCATGTTGCCACACTGTATGTAAAGCACAGTGAAATTTCTATCAGTGTCTTGGTGATTTAGTTGCACTGAGGAGTAGGCATGAGATTATCCAAGGCTTTGTGAGGTCTTATAAAGGCTGTACATGATGTGTGAAATTAAACATAAAGAGCTTTGGGATGTTTGACAGTAAGTATCCATCCATCCATCCATCCATGTTTAGGTATCTTGGAAAAATGCAATAAACCTCTGGGCAGGCTCTAAGGTCTTTTCACTGTTCCCTCCTTTCCTCGCCCCAAAAGTGCCAAACTCTTTCCAGACTGTTTGTGTAGGAGGCCACTTATAAAAACAGGAACATTCTAGCTTGGCCTAAAGTTGGTAATGTCTATGATCCTAATCATACTTAATGCTCATGATATATTAAACAAACTGCACATAAACAATGAATAACCAAATCAATTTTTTTTTTACACAGAGATGAGACTTTAGAGATGCACAATAATGCAAACACCAGGTTTTGTTTGCTGGTTAACGTTTCATACTGAATAATGGAGTGGAAACATTTTTAAATTAACACTGTGCTAATAAGTGGAACATGTGCCTACAAAAGGGTTCTCTCATCTATTTCACAATTAGGTCATCCAGCAAAATGGTGACACCAGTATCAATTATCAGGTCTCAAACAAAATGAGGTTGTAGAGGGAAAACCGAACCAATTTAGGAGCTTTGGGATCCAACTCTTCTCAGCTATAGATGTAGGTCTACCTCAACCAATAATGTAGCAGCTCTGTCTGCAATATAAGTAAGGAATTTACCTGTAGTGTCAGAGTACTTGCTGTTAAAATATGACTGAGGCACAAAAAAAACCCTCATCAGCCTTATTATTAATCCATATAGAGATTAGGGCAAAACCATAAAAACCTATTTTAGCAGGCTCTCTCATGCATGTAAGAAGAGTTTCCACTTCAGCAGGCTGCCTTGGTGCTGGTGGCTTCCATTATGATTTTTTTAAATGTAAAATCTTGTCCAAATAACAAGAGGAGCACAACCTCATCACAGCATAATAGGTGGCTACCATATATTTATGTATTTTTAAAGACAGAGATGTATAAAGATAAAGAGCAGTATGAAGAAAAGACCAGACTTATTTCAGTACTAGATTTTAGTCAGTTTTGTTGTTGCTTTACTGTTATCAGGTTATGTACATGTATATACACATGTTGGAAGTTTCCATTCCTGTATTAACATTGAAAGTCTCTATCAATGACTCAAAGACAAATCCATTACAAGGACAGTCTTTTGTATCACGCCCAGGGGCCGAAATACTGGAATAAATTGTAAGGATTGCAGTATCTGTGTTTATCTTTTCTATTTATATACTGAGTCAATGAATGCTCAGTTCCCTTTGAAATGTTCTTTTTTTAGAAGTACCGTCATCAAATTAAGTTGTATTATTAAGCTGTTTTGTTTTCTTCATAGCTGCTGTTAACAGAAGCAAAAAGAAAGTGCGTCATCTGTTAATGTTTATTTTAACATTTCATTTCCTATAGAGAAAAACAACCCTGACAGGAGTAGCACTGACACTGTTTTTCATGTCACACTGCCATTGCACTTTCTGTGAGGTCCTTTTGACTTTGCTACCTACCTCCTTGTCAGGGTGCTTCTGTTTGAGCTCCTTTAGGATCTTGGCCATGTCTCGCCGAGTCTCCTCCTCATCCAGATCTTTTTCATCTAGATCCAACCCCAGCGGACCATCCAGGAAGTCAACGCCATGAGAATTCAGCATCTTCCCATCCATCTCAATGTCAACCTTATAACATAAAAAGAAAGCAAATTAAGCAAGATCACTGGTGTAAGGCTTTGAAGCAATATATCAGCCGTCTCAGTGCTGCCATGGGGGGTCAACTGAATACTGAATGTATACCGATAAAGGCTTTAAACAGGCTCATAACAACCATGTATACTTTTGTGGTGTCTGTTTAGACCTTGTTATAGGTGCATTAATTAGTTTTAATATAGTATTCAATAGTGCCGTTCAGTTACAATATCTGTTTCTGAAAAATCACATTGTTTTGCAACTCAGTAAATAGGTTGCTTTATCATTCAGAGAGATCCTCATTTCCTCTGAGTACCGTTTTATTGCCTCAGTCACATTTACTGTGTCTAAGCTCTTTAAACAAGATGACAATTGAAAATGTTAGTTATTGGGCTTCCCCCCCCGAGTAACACTGCTCATTGGTTTCATTTAGACAGACGTTTAAATGAAAGGGCTGTTCATGTACTAACTGAACACGTATACTTTATAATCACAAAAAGTCATTTACAAATTTTGAAGAGATGACAGATTGAAATAATGTATCCTACACCACACTGCTGGAAATGTAATCAGATATGTGTAATACAGTGCACAGGACATCACACACGCACACACCCACAGCATCAAACGGTAGTCAAAAGAGGAAATTAAACAATGACAAAATACTTAAACGTGCGTGTTTGCAGCTACATAACATTTGTTTACCTTGGCAGAGTTCCAGTCAGTAATGAAGATACAATTGTTTCAGACACACATTCATGAACTCACATCTGTCTACAGAAAGTACCTTATCAGTTCCTTTTATTTTTCCACTGCATGTTTAGATGAAGGCAGTTTAATTTTTACCGGTCAGCTGTTCTCTAACTGATATGTCTTTGAAAAACAAAGTGCAGTTCAGGAAGGCCTTTCTGTGTGTTAATGACAGCAATACTGCTGTTAATACTAAGCTGGCATTCAGACTGAGTGCAAAGCAACTTCCTGCTGTTTTTTTACGCAAGGGGCTGCACTGATCGTGGGGGTTGGGGGTTGTAAGTGTGAATGATACAGCCACATTGTGACAAATCAACATGAGTAGCTTTATTTAAGTTTCCATTTTGTTTTAGATAGCCATGCTGCTAACAGGCTAGGCTAGGCTGCTCTACCTTAGCACCAGTTTTTATCACCAGTGTTGGAATTTATAGATTTAAAAAAAAACAAACATCCTAACTAACAAAAACACAATTTGAGAGTGAATACTCTCAATACTCTTCTTTTTGTGGACATCCCCTTTTAGACCATCCCCCATTATGTGATTAGTCAATGCTGTGCCTTTCCTGGATGATGTCACCATCTGGTGGGGCAAAAGTTGAACCAGGTCCAACTTTTTTTTTTTGCCGCACAGGGCTGCATCATTTTGCCAGGGCTTCCTGTGTTGCTGGTGCCAGCTATGATGAACACAGTCTCCCATAGAAACAAATGGAGAGGGCTGTGTTTTTCCAAACTGTTGAAACTCATTCTGAACGTGGCCTAACACCTTAACTAGTAGTAGTTGTGGTGGTGGTGTTAAGTATACCTTGGAAGGAAGTGGGCGATCACCTTCGGTCTCAATGATCATACCACGGTGCTTGCCAGCGCGGTAGCGCTTGTACATATACTTGTAGAACAACAGGCGGCGGTCGGCCACCCAAGCAAACACTACACAGATGGGAAAGAAGAGGAAGGTGAGCAGCCCCTCCCACACCTGCACAACACCAGGTGAGATCACAGACAGGATCAGGTAGAGCCATATGTAGGCGAAGATACTCCAGGTGGCTGTGACAAAGAACACGCGGAGGTGCTTGACCTTCCTCGTCTCACCATCAGGCACGACATACACACAAAGCCCGATGATAACAAACATGTTGAATGCTGCAGAGCCCACAATGGTAGATGGGCCCAACGTGCCAGCGTTGAAACCGTGACCCACAACTTCTATGACAGACAGCAGGATCTCGGGAGCCGAAGAGCCCAGAGCCATGAGGGTGAGATTGGAGACGGTCTCGTTCCAGATCCGAACAGTAGTGGTGGTGGTTTCTCCGTTGGGTTTCTTGATGGTGATTTCCTTTTCCTGTGATGTGATGACCTCTATTGATGCCATGAAACGGTCAGCAATGATTGAAACTCCCAGGAACATGTAGACCAGAGCCACGAAGTAAACTGTTGCTCGAGCAACCTTATCCCCAAATGATGGGTTTTGGGGCTCCCAGATAGGCAGCATGACCCCCGGGGCACACTGCTCAGGCTTGCTGCATTCAGTTTTATTGGTAGATACTGCTGAAACTGAGCCATCAAAGCTTGGCTCAGGAGGGGCACCAGCCACTGAGGGATGGAGCTTGAGGAGGAGAATCACTGTGATGATTGCTAGCCTGAAAGCAGAGGACAGGAAGGAGGAGTGATCCCAAAGGCCCATGGTGACGTCCACACCAGAACTGTGAGGTGACAGCTAATGACAATCTTGAACCTGAGAGGAGGAGCAGAGGAAAGAATTCAGATCAGACCATCAAACACTTCATGAATGTTGTCTGAATGAAGGAGGATGTTTGAGGATTAATCGGCTCTTTTCATTTGAATTTACACTGCAATAATTTATATTATTTCAACATTTTGGACAGCATACGTATTTAGTCAGAGCACACTGGAGGCATTTGGGTTTAACCACCTGTTGCCGGTGTAACAGCAGATAAGAATGCAGAGGGTTTTACATCATTTTAACACCTCATAATGGAGAGTAAATCACACTTCTCACAGTGTAAGAAACTCTCACCTCATCTCAAACATGTAGATGTCACAGAAAGGATTGTGTTGTACCAAAAAAAGGTTGTTGTAATGGCTTTGTTTAGAAATTATGCAGCTAAAAATGTCATTTTATACATTTGTTGTTCTTTCAGTCGATGCTGAAAGGTAAAATGTTATTCTTGTTCAACTGTTTTGCGCATGTAAGCCTAAAAACATATGTGTCCTGTTTTAGCAGTTTCGCAATTTACAAGAAAAATAAATCCTTGTCTCACAATATTATAACCAAGAAATGTTAGTTTAAGCTATAATGTGAACTTTACATAATTTTATAGTCAAGGAAGTGACATTGTTTCTTAGTTGTTTAATACAGTTTTTCAAAAAGTTCTGAAGTAGTTGAATCATCATGGATTGAATAAATCTAAATTAATGGAATTTAAACTGTATCGAGAGATCAGTATCATTATCCAGCATTACTAAACAACACTTGGTGTCTTATACAATTAAAAATAAACAACCCAGCTCACTTGGAGGTGCGGAGAACCTTAGTATCACAAAAAAAAAACATGTTTCAGGTTTAGGGGCAACAAGTTCAAATAACCAGACCAAAAAAGACTTCAGTTGCTGAGCTCAACACTACAGATTTCCGAGGAACAGCTTCTCTGTGGGCTCTGACACATTCCTGCAGCAGTAACACCCTGCTGTACATCATGTAATCTGGAAAGGAACGGCTTTGTTCGATAACAGGCTGATTGACTTCTGTAAACAACATTTAAGGGTACTGTAATCAGACAGCTTTGTAACCAGTTGGCCATCATTTGAAAATAATTTGTTGCCCTAAATTGAATTCCTGAAGCTGGCTGGTAAGATAAGGAAAGCTGCTGGAGAATAATTGTAATGCACAAGTGGTACATATTCATACAGACTACTGTATGGATATGTACCACTAAAATTACACAAAACCTCAATGAGTTTTGATTTTGAGAAAAATGTAACCAGTTTTGTACAATCCGTGCAGATGGATTATGTAACTGTCCACATGGCAAAGCCTATTTATTTTTTGGTATTTTAGCTTTGCGAGAGTCAACTAAATATTTCACACTAGCATAATTCAGGTTTGTGATAAAGTCGACAAGTATGTTCACCTTGAAGCTGTGAAATCTAGTTCATGTTTCAGATGTTTACCAAAAAGCCCTGTTGCACTAAGCTGTAGGTTATTCATCAAGGAGGTGAAAACAGTCTTGTGCCTCCACTGTGTAAACATTGATCCTCTTTCTTCTACAGTGCAATGTAAGCTGGTGGAACCACTAAAACACTAGATGGTATGTCACATTGGCTATGCTTGCCTCATCATTTACAATTAACCCGTTCATCGATACAGCTGAACCTGTAAAAGGCTGCGGTCCCAGGTGACACTGGGAACATCTGGACAGCTCGTCAAACTTCACACAGAAAGGCCCCTGTCAGCCACAAGCTTCGAACCTAGAACATTTTTGCACTGAGGTGAGTGCGCTAATCACTGCACCACCGTGCCGCCCACAACTTTGAGAAATGCAATCAGTGATAACTGTTTTAACAACCTCTGAAGTGCAGTGAGAAGGTGTTTTTGCCTTAAATAGGCCACTATCAGAGAGACTACAAAATCCCAGCACTGAGACTTCAGATCAGCCAGTTTCCCTGTAATTGCTTCCACAAAGAGGCAAAATTGAATGTAGAAATAAGATCATTTGCCAAGTAGTAATTTCAATGACGTAAACGTGTCCCAACACACATTTGGTGAAGTTATCTCAAATAACAAGCTAATTGCACATTGTTGGGTCATTTTCTGTGGGGAGTATAATCCATCTGAACATGATTTCTATTGTTATGAGACTAGACCATGTGCAGAGTAGTCACACTTTGGCGTAATTAAAACTCCTCTCAAAAGCAGAACAACAACTAATTTAACTCAAATACAGCTTTAGAGAGTGCCAATTAACAAGACCAGAACTAGTGTGGGCTGGTGCACATCAGCAGCATTTTGGTTTCCTAGGTTGTAGACAGCAAGTACAGTTTGATGAGAACCATAACAGCTATAAGCTTCTGCTTGTCACCATCCATGTTTCTCTTTCCTTACAGTTGTCTTCCCACATTTTTCCTCAGAAAAATCCACAACGTTTCACATTCCTGAAAGATGTCTGGCCAACACACATGCTGTTGGTCCTCGCTTTACTCATCCTCGCATCTGGATAGACAGTTACCGAGAAACAAATGTTTGCTGCTTTGAAGAACTTATAAAAAAAAAAGCACTGCTGCACACACAATGGTAATCCTTTTGATCAAAGATCATTAACAAGAACAAAAACCAGCCTAGAACTCTCCCCAAACAAGCTTCTTCCACATTCCTGCATGCCAGCATTAATTTTCTAATGATTAACTGTTCACACTTGTGCATGCACACACAGCAAAGCTTACCAAACATCAATAATTGCATCAGTACTTTCCCAGTTTTGCTCCCACCACAATGATCATTATAGATGAAGCTCTCAATCCCTTAACAGTAAGAATCACATCTTTTCGCACATTACATGCAGCGAGGCTCGGAAGCTGTGGGGGTAACACTATTCCTAGCTAAACGAACACCACAAAACCCAATTCCACAGTGATTTAACCAATGTGTGAATGTTCATTTAAAATATTATTCAGTATTCTGTATATAGTAGGAAGTTTGTGTGCTTTTCTGAATGTTGTTGGTTTGCTGCATAAATCATGCACTGTAAATGCTTTATCAGTCCAATGGTGAATTAAATTTTTAGGTTAAAAAAAGAAAAAAAAAAAAAAACAAGTGTGACAGTGTGTGTTCACGGGGATCGCTGTGTTAATGTGCACTGAGAAGGTTGAGTTGGGGTGTGACAGCCTTTTACTCTGATGTTAAGAAAATCAATTCAACTAAATTTACGTTTACTTTCATTTCCATGAGCTCATTTTACTCCTGGCTAATACAAACCAGCAGCTTCTTGCCTTCTTGTGTAGTCACACTAGTCTGTGTGGCATTTCCAAGAAATCAATAATTCAATGTCCTTTGGGTTTTGGTTGTTTTCACTTCGAGGATGTAATTTTTCTAACAGGCTGATGGCTAAAAATGTCTCTCTCTATTCTAGCTGTTCTGTACAAAACTTTCATAATCTTTGGAGTACTAATTATGACCAGAAATGTACTGTTTGAATCAAAATGTACACCAATAGTTAACAGGTTAAATAGAAAAAGAAAACAAAGGGATCATTTGAGGTGACAACCATGCTAAAAGACACCTGAGCACCAGGTGAGTACTTTGGTTATTTTCCACCTGATTTGTGAATATAAAGCAGCAATCCAGCACTCACAATCTTTCAAACATGCTTTTCTTCTTACCCAGCTAACCATTACTACAAAATAGTAAATGTTAAAGCAATAAGCAACTGGGCCTGATGACTGAAGGCCACAGCATCTGATTCACATCATGTTGAGTGACCCCTTGTGTCCTATGGATCAAAGAGACCACTCAGTAATTCAGGTTTTGCCTTTAATTTGTCACGTCTATATATGTTCTAGTATGAGCATATAGCGCCACAGTCCCTAATATGAAACGCAGCTCATTTACTAACCCAGAGTCTGTGCCCCGCTTTCTGCTCCTTGCGCCGCTTCTTCTCACAGAGTGGCTTCCTTAAAATTCATCCTCATGAACACGGATCCTCGATAAACCATGCAGAATCTTAATTGCTTTATGCTTTATCAAGAGATTGCGCATCAGATGACCTAAAATAATAACATTATGTTCATAAGTCCATTAAGTTCTAAGCTGCACAATATATTCTTCAGGAACTCTGAATGTGGTTCCTTCTCTGCATAAAAATCATTACCAGCAATTTGATGAATGAAAAATTGACACCCTGGTGGGCATCAGCACCAAACTCAAGGGTGTATGTTTGTGTCTGCTGTTCACACTAGAGAAGCTTAGTCACTAAACAGTGGCTGCTTTTGTGGAGTGTGTAATTGAAATATCAGGTTTCAGAACATCCCACTGTGATTTTCTTTAGTGTTATGACCTCAAAACTTGGCTTCATTTCAAGAGGAGTGCAACCTAAGACAAGCAAATAGAGGTTCAAAAAAAAGTCAAGAAGCACACACATGCACAAACTGCACCGCCGAATTTAAAAGCATGATACGTAAAGTTGATAAAACTAAACCCATGTGCTGCACTGAGGCAAGCCGAGTGAAAGCAGGAGGAAGGAGAAAAAGGAAGAAAGGTGGTTCATAAGACATGAGCCCACTTTCTGTATAAACCACTGATGTTCATCTGCAAATGAATAATGCACAAAAATTATTATAAGTGATGTATGGCAAAATCAATTAAAGATGAGTAGATGCTGACCAAAAGCATGCCACTGACAACAAGCCTGTGTGCTGTAACTGCTTTGAGGAGCAGCCTGTCTAAGATGCATTTTCATCGCTGCGGGGCAGGAGACAATGATAAAATATTTAAAGAAGTGACGAAAGGTGAGCCAAAGAAATATGAAAAAGGCAACAGACAAAGAAAATGAACGACAGAGACAGATGAGATAGAAATAAGGAATAGAGAAAGACGGGGCTGACCAAGCATACTTCCACCTTTTCTGATGAAATTAAACCAAAGGCACATTCCTTTGTGTGTATATGTGAGAGAGTAAAACAAAACACACAGTAGCCCCTGCACACAACTGAAGATTAATGGTCTGCATTTACCAGCATTAAAGTGATGCTGAGCTCTTTTAGCCTGGCTCTGCCTTGCAGTCGATCCTCGAGACAAGACATCTTGTCATATTATTTAATTTGGAGTGGAAGAAATGATCAGACCGGCCCTGTAACACACAAGACTATTTCCTACTGCCTGTCACTTTGTCTATCCATCGACATTATCTGTCTTTATGTCTAACCAGCTTGTGCCAAGGGACATGGACATGTGGGAAAGCATGAGCTATGGGAAATGAACATTGCTCAAAAGACTTAACATGCCTAAACAGAGCTGCACTAATTAATACTTTTGCATAACTAGTGGGTATGTTTAATATGAAAGAGTTTGCTTATAGTAACGTATTAGAGAATACTATTTCCTCAGCTCTCTAAAGCTTTCTTTTAGCTTCTTTCAGCTTGTTGTTTTGGGTTTGCCAACCTGCAACTTTGCTGTTTTGGCTCACTCTGTCTTCAGCCCTGTTATCTGTGGAAAAATCCTCTGATAAACCCACTATTTACACCACAGTGCCAACAAAGTTATCAACTTGCTGGTAAACATGGTGGAGCATTTAGTAGCTAAGCTAGGTCAGCTATTTCCATCAGGAGCTGGTGGAGACCAAAACAGAGCAAGACCACTGAATACTGGACTCGGGTACATTTGTTGATGGAAACATGACTGGAAATCAGTGCTAGCGGTGCCCTGTCTCCTGCTGGATGCTAGTCAGCTGTTTGCCAACACGTAGTCCATATAACCTGATAAGATACAGTAACCTCTACAACTTGCATCAGTCTTTTAATTTGTTAGTAGAATTTTTCCACATCCACACCGTAGCTCTAAAAACAGAGGCGGCAGACACACACAGGAAAAACACTTTATATCCTGTTAAAAATGTGTATATGTTTGTCTATATTAATAGCTTATCAATCTTTGATGCCTTCATATATTGACTATATAATACTGAGGCTGTGTTGGAGACAAACAGCCTCTGTTGTGTCCTAGATTTAATACTCTACCGCTGCCATTTTCCAAAATTAGCTCATATTTCCTGTAAACACAGCTCCTTTCTATCAAGAAGAGTAAAGTTACTAGTGGCTCTGTTTATCAGAGGATAAACACGTGACACAGACTAAAATTTTGCTTTGTTTACCCTTTTAAAAAAGCACCTGCCTGATTTTGTACTGTAAAGGAGTCTAGCATTTCTGCCACAAACTGTAGTGCACTGCATCAAATGCCATGTAAAGGCTCACAGTGACTGCCTCATTTGTTTACAAGCCATTTACTAAAATGAATATGACAACATGAGTTGTCTGCATTACTTTGAAATGAGCAGTACCTCTAACAGGTAAGGCATTGCGGGTTTTAGAAATTATAGGTTTATCTGTATTTACTTAGATTTAAAAACAGTAACATGCTTGGATTTACCAAATCCATAATTCAAAAATCATGGCCACAACTCAGTTTGAAAAATGACTGAAATCTGCAGCAAACTCTGCAGCTCTTTTACATTTTCTCCTGATTTTCACTTTGCATGAGCAGAAGCATTACCCGACCTGTCCTTGCTAATAGATGACCCTATTTACTGTAACACCATGTGAACAAGGTTCATTTTGCAAGTCTTTGGTGCTTGGGAACATAAGATCTGTATTAAAAAACATTTTACTGATCTAACTCTTGAGAAATTGTGGCTTTTTCCTTTGAAACTGGGTCAAATTAAACCACCTTCTTAGGGAATATCTGTAAAGTTTTAGCTTTATATTGGTGCTTTTAGTATTATACATAAATCCTATTTATTCATCAGTGTGTATAAAAAACAAATTATGTGGATTCAACCACATCAGTCTTTTATACTAAAAGTGAAACCTTAACCAAAACTTAAAATGATTCATTTTAAACATAACCCCACAACAATCTAAGCAGAAAGAAGAGGCAGAACAATCTAACCTATTAGGCCTGGCAGCGGTCTCACAGTGGCAGGTTAAGAGCTGGCTGCTCGATGCAGACACACAGAGACTGGCCTGACTCTGGCTTCAGATATGGAAAAAGGTCAGCTTTTACTGGAAAACAGCTTCCTGCTAATCTGAATATGCTGGTGATGCCTTACTAGATCTTACTTTATTTTACCAATAACCAACTGCATTACATTTGAAAGGTAAATAAAGCAGCGAAGACCTGTGTTTCAGGTTTTGCTGTCATGAAAAGATATTTTACACCATCCACAGTGGATGAGCTGTTGTTCTATATCATGCCCATGAAGCTCCCACTGAAGTCAGCTGGAAAGAAACTGCCTGGAAAGCTGTGATGCTACCTGCTCAAAGTGAGGAAGCCTTTGTAGTTTCACATGGAGAAAATGAGATGCTGTTGTCTGTTGCCTCCTATATTACATGTGCCATGAAAACAGGAACAGTTAACTGATGTGTGAGGCCCTGCCATTGTTTCATTTCCCTTTCACAACATTTTCCAAACACAGTTGGCAGAGGGCAATATGCGCAATAAGCTTTGCCATCTAATTTCACGTTTGAGACTAAAGGTCCAAATGGCCCAGCTGTCTAATTCAATGTTTCTGAACTAAGCCCGTTCAAACTCAACCACGGGACCTAGACTCTTCAACCGGCTCCGCACTGACGACCAAATGCCCTCCATCAGTCCCACAAGCATTGCAATGTTTGGTGCAAAGGATGGGAACCTACTGATCTGCGCCGATCTGGCTCTGAATGCGCTTTTAGGGGTAAAGGATTACGCTCTCTAATGGGAAACTTAACCTGGACTGTATATATTTGTGACCCGACTTCTACCGAAGAAAAGCCTATAAAGATGTGAGCGTGGTTGTCTGAACGTGATTTGCATAATTATAAATCCCCTGGAAACAAGCGAAGCAGGCGGTCGGACTTCCACATGCGAGGAAGAGAGAGGATATCGGGGGAAGAGGGTGGGAGTGAGATGCAAAAAAAGAACAAAACAGCAGCTGAAGAAAAAGGTCGGACTTCCACATGCGAGGAAGAGAGAGGATATCGGGGGAAGAGGGTGGGAGTGAGATGCAAAAAAAGAACAAAACAGCCGCTGAAGCAAAAGAGAGTAGCCTCTGGCATCTGACAAATGACAAACGTTCCACCGCACCGTGATTATTTTTCATTTTCTAAACCAGCGGCCACCTGTCTATAGATCTCTAAATCACAGAGGCGGAAAAGCGCAGTGGGAAAAGTGTGATGTGGGAGGATGATGTGAAGAAACATCGTCTCCGAATCGTATCCAAACCATTAAGACGCACGGTGCTTCCAAGTCTCCAATCGGGACTCCATGAGGCGACACTGTCCCCCGTCCAAAAACTTGCTTTCACCGGACAACGCCGCGAAATATAGGAGAGAGCCACCGCTTTTATGATCATCATCATCATCTCCTCTGAAAATGCACCAAAAACCACAGAATGTCTTACCTCTCTATCCAGAGAACGGCCACAATCCGGAGAACACCGGTCAGTAGTAAAAGCAGCACTTCAGCTCTGCTAGTAATAGTAGCAGTACACGGTGTAAGAGGAGGAGGAGTGGTCGTAGAGGTAAGCTGGTAGTGGGAAATGGTAATGGAGACGCAGTGAGCTCTTATACGCCTGCCAAGACGGCGTACCCACTGACCGAGACGCACAAAAGGAGGGGAGAGGAGTCCGGATTCCCATGCACTGAGTTTATCTGTTGCTACTCCTCGTTTCCATGCAGCGGAACCTGAGCGTCCTGTGTGACCGGGTGACCGCAGCGGCGCTTCATCAGCAAACCCGCATTTGTTGGGACGAGGAGCGCAACACAGCGGACTTCTTCCTCATTCTTCCCTTCCCGTTCCCCCTTTCGCTCCGTGAAAGCGCAAGAATAAAAAAGGAAGTGGATGAGAGCTAAAGCGGAGACGGAGAAGAGTGAGAATGAACGTGAACGAGTGCGTCTGTGTGTGAGCAGGTCCATACAGAGCTCTCCTTCGTCTGTTCCCTCACACACCGACTGAGGATCGGCTCGCCCTCCTCTCTCTCTGAACTGTGTGCGCGCGTCTCTCGCGCTCTGTCATTATACACATTGTACGCGTTTCTTTCTCTCACGTGCCCACTCATACACAGTCGCGTTATCGCCTAATCAATCTAACTAACCAATGTCCCATTGAAAACAATGAGTCCAGAAGCATGTCACAACCCGCTCACCCTGTATGTGCATCTGCTTCTCTGGTTTTCCCTGTCTTCATGATGGGAGGCATGGGCGGACTGGCCTTGGCCAGTACCGGGAGTTTTCCCCCGATAAACCACATACCTCCCATTGGGAGGTATGCAAGTTGAATGATGTTATAAAGCCAGCGTTAGAGCATTTATTTATTTAGTACATAAAGTAGGCCTATTTACAATTGTTACCCTTATTTCATCCATTAGTGTAGGGGCTCTCTGAGAACTCAGTGCAGCGAAGCTTTGGAAAACCATTGTAAAACAAAACAAGCTAATCTGGAAAACATCTTCCCTTATTTGGCAGTCAAATGCAGTATTTTAAAAACGCTGCCAAGTGTGAAAACACAACCAAATAGAGTGCGTTGAGCTCTCAGGGTCACCACAGCATTTTGCACTGGCAGAGCATCAGAGGGTGCCAGTGGTGCACCATCTAGAGGCTGGGCAGACCCCAGTGAAAGCTGGTGAATATTTAACATAATTTACAGTAAAACAGTGTAGCAACATTAGCTACAGGTTTAATTACAGTATGTGCCTATTGAGATTGCCGAGTGACCTGGGGTAAATCAAACACACCCACCCACCAACATTCATTACTGTAAATGCTTAGTGTGTTCATCAAAAATCCCATAGTACAAACTCAGTGGTGCTCAAGGAGAAAGGAGATGCAAAACTTGAAAGCCTTGCTCTTTCTCTCTCACTAACAAATACATACCCACTCACACATGTGTGCATAAAAGCATAGACAATTCTAATGATGCACAAAAGGCCAGAGGGGGAAATATTTTGCACTGCGAAGACACTGTCCTTCTGGAGTAGCTTACAGCTCTGATTAAACTTCAGTGCTGTGACTCCTCTGGACACTGAATGCTACTAATGGACGTAGTAGGCAACTTCTATACAACATGATCAATACAGTGCTTATAGATAGACAGTGAAAGTTACATTACCATCACAGCGAAAGTAGAAAGCTTTATTAAACTATTTGCAAAGAGAAACAATACTCTGTTGTATCATTAATTCTTTCAGCTGAAGATACTGCTCTGCAGCCTTGTACACCAATGTATAGTTCATTTATAAGACTGAAAGACACAAATAAGACTGGACAGGGCCCTTCTTTCTGGACTGTTTGGAAACTTGTTTTTAACTTGATTCAAATTTCTTCCCTGAAAACACACCACCTCTATCGCTGCCAAGCCAGAGGCAGAGCTGCGGTGTCACAGTGAACAGGCAGCGGTGGAAGTGGGAAGGTGAGATATGAAGAAACTTGCCAAGCAGTTCCAGTTCTAGCCATTTAAACACTTGAGCAACCTGGACAGTCATGGCAGAAAGTCAGCGTGACTTTGTAAAGTCACAGACATTGAGAGCAGTGCCCCGTCTCTACTCCAACCAACCACAGAAACTGAGTTTCACCACTTGACCTGTCAAACCACAACCTCCTTATATTTGCCACTTACTGTCCCTTCATGGTTTAAATACAGTTTCAGAGTTTCCACATTCCAGATGAAAGTCTGAATATTTGTAATTTTCTCTTATAAAAATGAATATATGCCAAATGAAATTCTGCATAAAAAGCCAGTTTTGAAGTGTTGCTATTGCTACTGGCCTTCGGTCATTCAGACCCAAGTCAGGACCATCTGTTGCTCTCTTCCTCTTCTCTTACCAACTGTATTGAGTCTGTTCACTGGTCTGGTTGACATGCAAATGTACAGGGTGCCAGTTTGTATTTAAAATATGTACTGTAAATTGAAAAGTTAGTCAAATTTGACTGAAAATCAAACCTTAATGATTACATTTGTATAATAAATGAGAGAATACTGTATAAGGATTTTCCAATAATCATTGACTAGTAACAGTAGATGGAGCTGGAAAAGAGGAGCAGGGTGGAAGTGAATCATCTTGCCAAAGGGAACATCTACAAACACAACACAGCATCTGACACACACTCTCTCCTTCTCCCTCTACTATCCTCCATGTCTTTGTCTCTCAGAGTCCAAACTGTGTCAGGGAACCTGGTTGTCTAACCCACGAGTGCAAAACATGTTTGACGTGTTCACACAACTTTGACCTACTCTCCACATCTTTTACCTTGGATGAATTTACAATTTCAAGTGTTTGTGGTATCAACGTACATTTAATCCAATAATGATGCAATTTTTGAACAGTGCGACTGCCCCTCAAAACACCCATGCATGTTCCCTGTAAAAAGGGATGATATAAACACTTAGCAGGAGAATATGGGGAATATGGGGTCAATAACTGGCTTGACACCAGAATTTTACTGTACCCAGCTCATGATGATATCTGTGGGTCATGACTGAGGAATCTTGGCATCCTGACCGATCAGCTTAATCAGAAAGTCTTTCTTTATCTGGTGCCAAACTGGCAGAAAGCTGCACTCAATGATTTTGCTCACAGTATTAAAGGTGAACACTAATGGTGCCTAATGTAAGCAAGTCTGGATGCCTCATGTCCAAATTACAGAGAACCACATGTTAAAAGGGAATGGGCACAAAAGAGGAAAATACACCAGAAGGTTTCAGTTTAAGCTTTTCTCAATTTTGACCCACTAAGCACTATTTTCCAAATAGCATGCTGCTGGGTCCCTCTAGTTTGTCCAATTTTGTGAAAAACGCCAGTAATGGCACAGCCCTCACAAGAATAATGACTTTTGCTTTCACCTGACAAAGACCTCATACAAATTATGAACCATGTCTATAATAAACAAAAGGTGGAAAATGGGTTTTGGCACTGCAGGGTCAGTTAGGGAGGGCACTGGGGTGGATAGGCGAGTCAACAACACAATTTGGAAACAAGAGACTGTTTCCAAGTGTTTGTTTTTTTTTATAAACAGTGCCTAGAACTATTTCCTAACCTTAACCAAATAGTTCTTTTAAAACTATGACCATACTTCTAACCCAACCCTAATCAAGACATTTTTTGCATACATAATAGCTTTAACAGATCAGGCAACGCTTTTGTGTTGTTTTGGAAAGCACTTAGAACACGGCCATGTATAGTAGGTCACTGGAAATGTAACCCGTGTTACTCTGTGGTGACACAATCCCAAACCTTCCACCTGTGGTGCATTTTTCTTGTGTGGCATACATGTGGTTCCCTTTGCTGTACTGGCTGCCACATCTGTTCTGAGGCTGGCTGAGAGACACTGTGGCATTGGTGTCATGTTGTCCTAGCCCTACGAAATAAAACAAAACACAACACCCTACCTGACAAAGTCTAGAGAAAACACACAACTAGACTATTTTTGGTTAAAGGTAATACTGTAAAATACAGCAGCATTAAGACAAAACCAAAGAGGCAGAAACTGTTCAATTAAATCGATGGGAATTGAAGTGAAAAATGAGTTTGTTGTCATTGGAGTGGTGAGAGATGTGTGGGGCAGTGATTAGTCTGCTGAAGTGGATTAGTCTAAAATGTCAGGAGTTGAAAACTATAACAGAGGTGAAATGACAGAGCAGATAGTATCAGACATCAGCAATGAGGAGAGACCAGACTGCAGTGTCCTCAAATACAGACACCTCACATGTGGACAAATCTACACACTCATCCTTTTCTCCTTCTCTCAGTGTATCAGAGTTTGTCTGCAAACACCCAGTCATATTTAGAGACAGGCTTGCACACATAAATCTGTATCACTATATGACTCTGCCTTTGTGCACAGTAGCTACATCAATTACACGGCATCTAAACACTGCGTGTGTTGTTTGAGAAACCACAAATCTTGAAGCTACCAATGATCTCCCTATTCCTGTTCATTAAAGTAGATGGAACCTTAATAAATGTACTGACTTCTGACTGAATTTATCTTCACATTAAAAACCTCTACATAATATTTGTGTTCAGTCACAGAAGCAACCATGGGTCAGTCTTGCAGTTAAAGGCCAAAATGCATATCATATTTTTGTTTTGTGACATGAATTTGGACTGTGTCGATGCCAGAAAAGAACAATCATGTCTGTCTCTCACCTGCAGCCACTCCTGTTATTGAGGACAGCCTAAAATAAGGAAACTATTTTGGTGGGGCCCAGGGTAAAAAAAACAACAACCCTCTGGGCTCAGTCTTTTTCCTCTCTTCTTTCCTTTTTTTAAGATCCTCTCTTCTCCTTTCCAGTATCCCCAGGCTTTAGTAGAAGCCAAGCAGAACCAAATAAAAAAAAAAAAGCTGGATGACACATTGCATTACAACAAAGCAAAGCAGAACAGATCAATACTGAAATAAACCACATCACAACACCATGGATGATAGTACACTGCAGTTAAGCTAGAGAATAATTACCACCAAAGAAAACAAAGAGTATAAGCAAGAAAAGCAACAGTTAAAAAAAAGAGGTCAAGATAATGTGCAAAACATATTGTAGTCTCACACAATAGCTTTTTCTGAAATAGTCACAGTTTCTTCCTTTGGCTATTAAATATCCAATAAATGGTGCTGAGGCATTTGTTTACATACTACGCACTGTTCTGCTTGTGGTGTCCATTTTATCCATATACTGATTCACTGTTTGCAATTAGGACTTAATGAATACCACAGGACATTAATCATCATAAATTCAGCTATCACTTGACAAAGAAGATGAATGAAGGGAGAGCCAGACAGGAGCAAAGTAAGAAATGTAGGACAAGAAGAAGAGAAACAAAGGAGTGAATAATCTCTATAATCTTTTAAGATATTGATTATGCCAGACACTTGTATACTTTAGCTCAGAGATGGTACAGGTTTGGCCAGTGATCAGAAACTAATGGTATCATTTAAATATTATTCTAATCTAAAAAACAAAACTACACATTCTTTGGCAGCTAACTGATCATGTCAGTGATGGAATCAAGAGTCTAAGAAG